ATCAACATATCAGCTCCTTCAGATATATGTTCATTCTGTGTAATATTTATCTAATTAATTGTCATATAATTTTATGGAGATTATAAAAAAAAATTTTAAAACTGAATTGGGGTAGAAAAATAGTTCAAATGAGCAAGAAATGCGTTGATTTAAACTACAGGATATGACGGCATGTCAGTAGTTCAAATGAACAATAGTTCAAACGAACAATAGTTCAAACGTACCATAGTTCAAACGGCAGTAGTTCAAATGCGGATCCACCATATTTTCGGTCGGATGAGCAGTATTTTTAGGTGGGATGAGCAATTTTTTTAGGTCGGATGAGCAATACCCATAGGGAAACATTTTTACCGACTTTATATGTGCCGATAGCTCGAAGTTGGCGGGTAAATAATTCTGGACTTTATATGTTCATCGGTTTGTCGGAGACTAAATGTTTGCAGGGTAATTTTTTAGGTCGAGCAAAAGTTTATGTTAGATGAGCAATATTTTTAGGTCGATAAGCAATATTTTTAGTTTTTAGGTAAAGTTAAAAGGGTAATATAATTTAGGTCGAAATTGAGCAATTATAAATGTCAGTTGAGGAATATTTTTATGTTGAGGTTGAGCAATATTTCTATGTCCATCGAGTACAAATTTATAAGGTATGTTAGATATTAGCAGTAATTTTAGGTTAAGGACAAGCAATTTATTGTTAGGTTGCAGTTGATCAATATATACTGTCGGTTGAGCAAAAGTCTCATGATCCAGTACTTTAAGCAATATTTTAGTAGGTCTGGTGCAACTGCAATACTTTTTGGTCGGATGAGCAATATTTTGGTGTTAGGTCATTTCCCCAGCACAACTTCCACAGCACAATTTCCCCAGTCACAAATTTCCCAACAGCAATTTCCCCAGCCGCTAATTTCCCCAACAGCAACTTCCCCAACCGCTAATTTCCCCAACACTAACTTCCCCAGTCACTAATGTTCCCAACAGCAATTCTTCCCCAACACCAATTTCCCCATGCAGTAAAATTCTTAATTTCCCCAACAGCAATTTAGATTTAGATTTGTCCCTTGACATTGATTGTATATGGTTGTACTCATACTTATTGGAATCCACCAGAACATTTCTCTTCTTCGAGGACAGTGTTCTGCCCACTGTCGACTCTAATCCAACTGATTTTTTCACAATCAAAAAGTTTTTTTTTTAAATTGCGCATTTGTTTATTGGAATAGTGTTAAAAACGGAAATATTTGATATTTTACTGCTGGGGAAGTTGCTGATGGGGAAATTAGTAATTGGGGAAATTGTTGTTGGGGAAGTTGCTGTTGGGGAAATTAGTAATTGGGGAAATTGTTGTTGGGGAAGTTGCTGTTGGGGAAATTAGTAATTGGGGAAATTGTTGTTGGGGAAGTTGCTGTTGGGGAAGCTGTTGGGGAAGTTGCTGTTGGGGAAATTAGTAATTGGGGAAATTGTTGTTGGGGAAGTTGCTGTTGGGGAAATTAGTAATTGGGGAAATTGTTGTTGGGGAATTTGCTGTTGGGGAAATTAGTAATTGGGGAAATTGTTGTTGGGGAAATTGGTTGTTGGGAAAATTGCTGTTGGGGAAGAATGTCTCGGGGAAGTTGTGACTGGGGAAGATGCGCTTGGGATCTAACCTAACACCAATGAATATTTTTATAGGTCATTTCAAAAGCATGTTACTAATTGGGTAATGCTATACTTTTAAAAATAGAATGTACATCTTACGAGGGAGGGGGTGCTTGGCCGCCATGAGCCCCGCCAAATGACATCCAAAGCCTTCTGATACAATATGGTATGATCTCCCTCCAAGTCCCTTAAAACCATCTCTGGGCCTTTCGTTTGGTCTTCAAGCCTCCGACATTCTGTCTCCATCCCCCACAGTTTGGTCTCTAATGAAAAATATCTGGCTTTTAAATCTACCAAAAACCTTTTCGTTCAAATAATCTCTAATTGATTTATAAATTTCGCAAATTCCGTGACTTGTGAATTTAACTATATTGCAGTTTCATAGAAAAAATTTGTTAGAGAATTTTTTTTACAGGTGTATCTTGTACAAATCTAACTAAACTACCACACTATTCACAAAACACAATAGTTTTGTGAAATACTTGAATTGATGCTTTTAAGCGCGATGCTTTTTGTAAACTTTTCATAAGAAAACAAGTCAAATCAATTTAATGAACTAAAATTTGAAATGTTTGATTTAAACGATTCTTTAAACTATGGTGGATTCTACTATGAAGAAATATATTTTGAATTTTGGTATTTTTATCTTAAAGTAATTAATTTTGTAAAATTTTGAAAATGCGCGAAAAAGTATTATGAAATCCGCAAATTTTTTGAAAAAATTTTAAACTAAAAACTGAACAAAAAAGAAGATGCGCGCGAAGCGCCCTAAAAGCCATTTTAATAAAAGTTCCAGAAAATCTGCAGAAAATCTTTGTGATTAAAGAAACATAATAATTATAGAAACTAATAATTGAATAAGATTACTTATTTTCGATGATAAGAGTTAATATTTATTTTCTCAAACTGCTCCTTAACAACTAATTAGTTTTTTGTAGAATTTTGTTTACATTTTTGTCACGGCGTATTTAATAATTAAAAAAATAAAACAATTCTAAAAACATATCCACCCAAAATTACGATTTTGAACGTCAAACCTAGGATATACAGAACTTTAAAAAGTTTTATATGTCTCAAAGGAATCCAAAAGAATTTGTCCATGCAACATTGCATACTCAGTTCAACTACCTTACATAGCCGGTTTGTCCCTTTGAATAAAAAATAAGAACTCTTTGTACCGGGTTTCAAACTTTTGTAATTTTTACTTTTTGTTGCTTTCATCTGCGCGCAATTTCTCTAAGCACATATTATCCACTTACGTGGAAAATCCTATATATTGAATGTGTCTTATCATGTGAATTTTTAAATTTTTAAACCCATTTTTTTCTTTCTCTCTCTCACACTTCAATTTTTATAGGATCGGAACACTTGCAACAGAGCATAGCTTTCTTATCCATATATCTTTGCAACCTGGAATTTGGCACACTTTCGTTATTTCAATCTATTGAATTCTGCTTGAACGTATAGTCTAAATTGGAAATATCGAGGTTTTACACCATCATTTTAAAAAGATATATGGGATTTAAAAAATAGAGTTTGTGGCTAGTGTTCAGTTCCTTGTCTTTCACACATTACACATTTGAGAATTCTCCCTGAATAGACATAAATATAACAGATCTCTGTAATTTTAAAATATATCCTAAGCTTTATTGAAAACTGAAATAACATGGTTTTTGTCAATTATTATTTCAAGCATTAATCGAGGCATATTCTATTCACAACGTTCGCAAAAACAACTATATGTACTTATAGTGTATTTAAGGGTACTGTTGTTAATCTGGCAGCCAATCTTTTTTAAATGGAGGATAATTTGATATTACACGGACACTGACAGTGTCTTTATACCAAATAGTCTGAAGAGAACTGTGACACTTTCTGTTTAACCTTTTGGCAAGAATCTGTGAGAAAATGTGCCCAGTAATTATACCAATTTACTTGGATAATGAGTTTATCTAATTACCTTCATTCACCTCAATCCAAACTATGTAAAAAAAAACTATTTTACCAAAAAAATGTTCACAGAAATGAAATTTTATTAATAAGAGCGATTAAAGATAACTTTCGTATTTTATCCGTACACTAGCTGAAGTACCCTGCGTTGCCCGTGGAATTTTAAATACCATAATGTTATGTTAATATATACATATATATATACATATACATATATACTTATAAATATACATGAGCGAAAAGCTTTATTATATAGAATAGGTGTATATTATTATGAGACTTCAAAGACGACGGTATGAAATATATGCAGACTCTTGTTCTTAGTCTCAGTTATCCGCAACTGGAACCTTCTGTCAGCAAGAATATTTATTATGTCATTTTAAGATAGGAATTCGGGCAAAAGATAAAATTTGCCTTTCAGATATTATGTTTAATGTTTAGGTCGTCATTAAAGTAGAATTTGTCTAGAAAACTGTTCCTTAGTTTTCACCTAAGCAAAATAAAACAATTAATGCATACATTTATTTCATAGTAACAATATTACATTAATCCATTTCTCAGGGCATGGACATTGGACATTAATAGGGTATAAATTATATAAATTGGGTGATCACTTGTGAAAGAACGGAGTTTTGAAGAAATCATAAAACTGAAATATTGAAAAATATTGGCTAAATAAAATATTTGGGTCTAAATTCATGGAAATATTTGATAAAGTTTTTGCAACATTTTTCTGAAAGAAAGATAAGTGTGTGCAGTGGTTTATTCCTGCCCATGCCCTTGTTTTTTACTTCTACAAATATTAACAAAATAATAAGGACAGCAACAATAAAGATTTTATAAAGTAAATATTTGCTATCACTCGAGTCAACTTTATTATGGATTCTATATAAACCGACCTAGAGACTAGAGAGCCATGGGTTCAGTGTCTTTGTGTGCTGCATGATTGTCAGCTTTCAAAAGTTTTTCGTATTTTAGGTTTTTAGACTTGTTAAGGATTCCACAAAAATCGCAAAATAAAAAAAAAAATTATTTTATACATTTGATTTGTTTACAATTTGGAACAATGATACCTTTGTTTACAAACTGGAACCCTGATGATACCTTTCACTGTGATTTAAACAATTTTAAAAATCGATGAGAATTTTGCGAATTACTTCGTTAAAAACTAAAGCTAACAACAAATGGTTTATTGTACTAAAATGTACATGTATAGGGCTACAGAAAATCATAAGTGAGTTACACGGGGCAAAATCAAAGCCCAAAGTTGCCCCTGTCTTAAAAATTATTGGTACTTTTTATAAGCAGGCTAAATCTATGTGCTTTGTTAACAAACAAAGTGTGATGCATATTCTTGGAGGATTGTAAACAAACTAAGTGCTGATCAGACTTTAGAACCCGCGTAAACAATATCCTCCTTTTCAATCTTTTTTACTATTGAGACGTGGCCTTCTACCTTGGTGAATAGGAACGGGCGACCCCCCCCCCCCCTACTCTCCCAGTTGCGCCCTTCTTTTTTGTCTATCTCCCCTAGATCGGTTTAAAAAATACCCATGAAAAAAAATCACATAAAATCCAATACGAGTTAAATTTCTGTTATCGAAGATAAAATTTGTTATTTTTGTAAAATTTGCCTTTCCTGAATTCAGTAGACATAAAACAAATTACTGTGTAAAAATACCAAGGACTAAAACTTCGAAACTTTTACCATAAATACTCGAGTCCGGTTTACTTAGAACGTGGAACCTTAATTAGTTAAGATAATGAAACATAAAACATTTTTAAAAAAGTTAAATTTTTTTGGATTTTTTTTACAGCAATGTGAACATAAATCACACAACCAAGGTTATAATGCAAGGAAAGTTTATTGCAGTTGAGTATAGTCAGCGTACATATTGAAACCAGTTCTCTCTCAGGGTGGAATTTGTAAACAAGAATAGATGCAACAGTGTTCGTTTAGTATCCGAGAAGGATAAAGTCATTGAATTTTGAAAATTTCGATAATTCACATAATGTTTCCAATGACCAGAATATTTCATTGATTTTTTATGTGAAAGATGGATACCATGTCAGGCTGTGCCATCCGTCTTGTGTTCACATTACCGCCCAGAGACAGTTATACACTGTAGTACAAAAGATGCGTACACCTCTGAAATAACTTTCCTTGCATCATAAGCTTGACACAACATGACATAATACAAAGAATAGCTCAGAATATTATAGATGACGCGAGTAAACATAATTTGTTTTGAAATTGAATTTTAGCCATTTTTAATGTGAAGAACTATTTCCAATATCCTGAAATATATACAATGGAAAGTTTAGGGCATATTTCTCATAAAAAGGACTTTAAGAGTAATTTTAAACGACCCTCCAATCAAAGAGACAATGCTTGATACAATACCCTGGAAACCTTTTCATTAAGGATCACTTGAAATTACGCTTCCAGTGCCTTTAATCATAGAAAAAAACTCCACAAACGAAAACAATAAATTTCAAAGAAGATTTAATTTTTTTTTGCTTTTTTTCCAGCTTCAGCTATGATTGCTTTTTCCATAAGGGTAATCTTATACATTGAGATTAACATTTATCACAAGGAGAAGTTAGAACTGTCTCTACTGTGTTGGCTGTTAAGCATGACTAACATTAAACAGATTCACTAGAAATATTTTTAATCAAATTTTCTTTTCATTTACGTCATTCATTAAATTCAATCAATTCATTAATTATTTTGATCATTTTCAAAACAATTCATTATCCGTAATATCTGAACATTGTTCACATTTAAATGACAAAAAAATTTCTCAACCTCAATTAAGAATACCCCAGATAATTTCAAATCTTTATGTTGTAAAATTTTCTCCCATCCCCCGGCCCCCCCTCTCACTGCACACCGAGTTGCATAAATGCATATAATTCAAATATGTGTAGACAGAGTTTAATATTTGCAATTTGAAATTATAGCATATAGTCATATAGCCAACTCAAATACCACACATCTATACTTTTCTTGTCTGTTTCTCTGTTTGTTTGTAACTGATAAACGTCAAAACGGTTGAAGAGATCGGGCCCGAATTTTTTTGTGGGACATCCACATGATCCCAGAAAAGGTTTATTAATGCTCAGAACTACAAAAAAATTGCCTCCAAAACTTTTGATTTTCGTAAAAGTTTGAAAATCCACGAAAAAAATGTTATTAAATCCGCGAACTTTTGTTTTCATTGTTTTGTATTTTACAAAGAGGCGATGCTCTCAGATAGAACAACAATTAACATTTGAAATAGTACATGGGAGTGAAGCGCCCTGAAAGCTATAGTAAGTTAATATTTCAATCTTGCTGATAATATAACTTCAGATTTTTGGTTCACAAATGATTCTGTTGGATCAAATAATCTAAGTTTGAAATATCAAAGATTTAAACCATCAGGTTGCCAAGATATAGGGAGTATAAAATTTGAATTTGTGGCAAAGACCTATAAAAAAATCTCTAGTGTCCCTTTTTATAAGGTGACAATCAGAAGAAAAAAATTTGTGGCAACGGAGAATGTTAAAAATACATAAAGTTTTGTTCCCTTAATCCCCACAAACCCAAGAATGTAATGCAAGGAAAGTCAATTACAGTTGCGTATACTCTGTGTAAAAATTGAAACCAGTTCTCTCTGGGCGGAATTTGTAAACAATAATAGATGCATCAGTGTTCGTTAAGTATCCGAGGAAGTTAAAAGCATTAAATTTTGATAATATTGATAATTCACATAATAATTTCCTATGACCAGAATATTTCATTGATTTTTTATGTGAATGATGGATCCCATGTTAGGCTTCGACATCCGTCTTGTGTTTACATTAGCGCCCAGAGACAGTACACTGCTGTACTAAAGATGTGTACACTTCTGATATGACTTTCCTTGCCTTACATCCTTTAGCCTGTAATCTGATAAGAATTATAACAATAACATATTTTAATGAAATTAATTTTTTTTCTCCTAATGATTTTGTTTCTCCTAATGATTTGAAAACTGTTTTCAAACAAGATTGTTAGATGTTTTTATACTAACTAATCCAGCCTATTATTTGTAAAGTAAGGAATTTATTTTGAGTTGTTATTGTTTCCTTTTCTAGTTTATAGAATATATGTTATTATTTTGTGGAATAATGTGCATGACTAAAAGAATTAGGAAGTTGTTTTCTTTTTTTCATGCAAACCAAGTTTTGTGAAATTAGAACTTTGTTTCCATGCTTTGACGATGCACGTGGTTGTATCTTGTGGGTTCTGTGTGCAAAGACGACTGCTGTCTTATTCTCTCCTGGTTCCTCCTCTCAACCCTGCAATTTAACTAATTGTACAGCTATTATGTACATGTTTAATTGAATGTTTGTAAAACTTTAGTTGAATGTACGTACACTTTTACATAGTTTATAAATATTTAGCTGTATGTTTGTACATGGTTAACAAGTTTATTTGATGTTTATGTACATGAATGTACATGTCTATTTTTAGTTAAATTTTTGTACATGTTTATTGAATGGTTTAAACATGATTAGTTGAATGTTTGTTCATGTTTAGTTGAACGTATTTACATGTTTTTAGTTGAATGTATGTACAAGTTTAGTTGAACGTATTTACATGTTTTTAGTTGAATACATGTTTAGTTGAATGTATGTACAAGTTTAGTTGAATGTGTGTACATGTTTAGTTGAATGTGTGTACATGTACCTGGCTGCTAGAGCAGTATGATGATGTGAGACTGGAACAGTATAGTCCGGAGGGCAAGACAGTATACGTTTGAATGCCCGACGGAACTAAGAATATTCAATTAATATTTCTATCAATAATTAATATACCAATATGAAATAACATAAACATTTTTTAAATTTTATACAATAGTTAGATAAAAAATATTGATAAAAACTAAGAAGAAATCCTTGTTTTTCTATCAGAAAATTGATAATTGATAATTGTAAGTTCTGTATAAAAGTGATTGTGGATTTATTCAGAAAAAAGAGTAAAATTGAAAGAATATAAGCTGATGAAGGTTTAAACGGTCCCAACGTGAAAAGGGAACCCAACTCTCTAAAAAGAAAGATCCTTAAAATTCGACGACTGTCCCTTTGAATATTAAAATAATCGGAAAATAAAATTAATGATGCGAAAAGATTCCTAGAATATACCTTTGTTGACATCGCGTTGTAGAGAATAGGGTTGACTGCACTGTTGATGTACGCACAGGTCTATACAAATCTTATCTTATTTCCATGCGGGAACTTCAAATGAATGGGCCTTTTCCCTTTTGAATAATTTTTAGCATGTGAATAAATATGTGGCTTTGTAAAAATAAATAACTTTAAAATTTATGTTGATATAAAATATTTCTCAATTAGGAGATTTAACATTTTAAAGTTTTATTAATCATACAGAGATAACATTTCAGATAGTACTGTAGTACTACTTAGTCATTACCAATAAAATGAATTTTATCTTTTTTATGTATTTTTTAAAAAGTCGCTAAGGATGTTACACTTTGTAACAGATGAAAATTAAAAGCCCCAGCTAGATAAATATGAAAAGTTCTATTGGGATTTATATTTAGACTGTTGTTTAATACAGTGAGAACCAGAATAAAGCAGAATAAACATAGTCTTAGATCCAGGGGGGGGGGGAGTTCAAATCCCTAACTTTTTTGACACTGTCTTTTTCTGACACTTTCTCTTTCTAAAACTATCTGTTTCTGAAACTCTCTCTTTCTGAAATTATCCCTTATGGTACTATCTGTTTCTGATACTATCTCTTTCAGATAAAATCTCTTTCTGATACTATCTGTTTCTGAAACTATCTGTTTCTGAAACTATCTTTTTCTGATACTATCTTTTTCTGAAACTATATTTTTCTGAAACTATCTGTTTCTGAAACTATCTGTTTCTGAAACTATCTGTTTCTGAAACTATCTGTTTCTAAAACTATCTGTTTCCAAAACTATCTTTTTCTAAAACTATCTTTTTCGGACACTATCTGTTTCTGAAACTATCTGTTTCTGAAACTATCTGTTTCTAAAACTATCTGTTTCCAAAACTATCTTTTTCTAAAACTATCTTTTTCGGACACTATCTGTTTCTGAAACTATCTGTTTCTGAAACTATCTGATTCTAAAACTATCTGTTTCTAAAACTATCTGTTTCTGAAACTATCTGTTTCTGAAACTATCTATTTCTGAAACTATCTCTTTCTGATAATATCTGTTTCTGAAATTATCTGTTTCTGATACTATCTGTTTCTGAAACTATATGTTTTTAACACTATCTGCAGTTTCTGATATTATCATGTCTCTGATATTATCATGTTTCTGATATTATCATGTCACTGATATTATCTGACATGAACACCTACCTTGGCGAACATGAGATACCATAGATCCATATAGATAGGGTATCCGACCATACCAGCCAGTGTGTTGTAAACCAGTATACCCCTGGTTAGCAAATCAGATAAAATGGATTTTAACGTGATTTTTTGTTCTAACCCTTGATCAATTTTCTGATTGCAGTATTTGAGAAGAGACAGATGAAAGTTGATTTCAAAAGAGAGACTTTTTTGGCAGTTGAAAAAGTATAAAAAGGCAACTCTGTAAGTTTAAAGATTGTAAAAGACAAAACTCAATTGGATTGGATTCATATTGAAGAAACACAACAAACACATCTAAAGCCTTGGTTAGTAATTGTTGATTTTTAAACTAAAATATTGCAATGAAGTTAGAGCTATTGTGATTTGAATCTCAGAATCTAGAATTGATCTCCATCTCGCGCGGATTAATTTAATTCATTTCCAATATCCCGTGATGGTCATACCCTGCAGTTAAAGTGCCCCCATTTGATATGGAGATGAAGCGTTTAAAATTAACAAGACATAAATAAACACAAAACTTCCAATCTCAAGAGTTGTAAAGGAATATGGATTACAAATATGATTTTGAGGAAAATGCTCAATTTTTTCCTCAAAACAATTTAGCGTAACTAAACTTTGGAGGAAAAATGTTATTTATATTTCTTTTTTTATTTTTATTATTGTTAAACTTTGTTTTTATAAAATGTCTCAAAGCTAAAAGTATTGATATAAGATTATAATACAGAATAAATACATATTTTTCTTTTGTATTTTTTATTTATTTTTTATTTTATATTATTATTTTTTTAATTGTTTACCAGCTTTTTCTGAATTTTGTGTTTGTTAGTTTATATTATTATATTTTGCAAATATTTCATATTTTATTTAGGAAAGAAACCCCCGTTTTTTAGATGAATATATATCTTGTTATACACTCTGTAGTCTGTACAATATAAAACAAATAACTTTTGCATTTTTTTCACAGTTTTCCTTTTATCCTTATCAATTGGTTTTTCATATGTTTGTATATTGAAAATTATCATTATTATCTAGATGTTTGTATTATCATTATTATCTAGATGTTTGTATATTGAAAATTATCATTATTATCTAGATGTTTGTATATTGAAAATTATAATTATTATCTAGATGTTTGCATATTGAAAATTATTATTTTTATCTAGATGTTTGTATATTGAAAATTATCATTATTATCTAGATGTTTGTATATTGAAAATTATAATTATTATCTAGATGTTTGTATATTCAAAATTATCATTATTATCTAGATGTTTGTATATTCAAAATTATCATTATTATCTAGATGTTTGTATATTCAAAATTATCATTATTATCAGATAACCCTTTACAATATAATTATCATTTTTATCTCGAATATAATTGTAATTATCACAACCTGGAAAACAAACAAGGGATACATGAGTTTGGTTTGTTTAATTTAAATTCAATGTTGGTTTATAATTCATCAATCTTTATTAATCTTTACATTATGCTTTTTTATTGAAACGCATCCGCCTACAAAAAAAAGAATACTGAGTTGTTGCCACAAACGCAAACTTTCTTTAAAATACCTCCTATTTTTTACCTCTAGAGGGGATGGGAGAACTAAATATTTCCCTATTTGGAATAAATCTTGTATATCACCTTGTGACAGATATGTTATGGTCCAATACGAGTTTACGTGAGGTGAGAAGGAAAGGGTTTGTGTATACATTAGGAGTTCAGAGTCAGACTGATAGAAACTAATATTGATCCAAAGGTATCAAGTGCTTACGCATAAATTGTTGATTCCCAATATTATTGCAACTAGACTATTTGAGTTTGAAATATCAATGGTCTACAGACTACAACATCGTATTGCAAAGATATAGGGATTAGAAAATAGAGATTGGGGCAAAAAACCTAAACCTTTATTGGTGAATTCATAGTTTGAAATATCTAATTTCTATGAAATTGGATTGCAAAGGTATGGGAATTATAAAATCATAGTTTGTAGAAAAAACTCGATTCCTTTGCTTGATCATTGCTATCTGGGTTGATCTATAATTATGATTTTTATTATTATTATTATTATTAATGTATATAACTATACCTGTAAGGTATCTAGGTTGACCTAATATTATGACTATTATTATTATTATTATTAATGTATATAACTATACCTGTAAGGTATCTGGGTTGACCTAATATTATGATTTTTATTATTCTTATTATTATTATTAATGTATATAACTATACCTGTAAGGTATCCACAAGCATGCAAATACAATGACGACGGCAGCTAACATCTTTATAACCTATTCAAATATTATTTTAAACTTTAAAGGAATGGTAAACACGTATTTCTAGAAAACACGAGGTCCAAAAATAAACAGTAATGATTTTCATCTTTAAAAAAACATTTTTTTATTATTCATCAATATTTTGGATAATATCAGAACTGTTTATTGATTCCGTGCATGCTTTAGAAATCCACGAGTATAAAGGTTAAACATTTTCAAACTGCAGAGAAAACAGATGATTCGTTTGTAGGAACGCTTTCAATAAAGGATCACTCAAAAATGTGTTTTTCTCGAAAAAGTTTTCATTTGCAAATATTTATTTGAAGTTTTTATTGTACCTAGACCAGGATTGAAGCAGGATATTTGGAGATAGAAGCGAGAATTTATCAAATATTGTCAAGTTCAAGATATAAGATATAAGATAAGTTCTTAATATCCCGCCTCACAGTCGTACATAGTCATTTTATAGCCATATTGGACTCAATCGTCAATATGTTGAACACATTAAAGGAATTGAGACTTTGCCACAAACTCTGATTTTCTAATTCTTATATCTTTTTAACCCGATGTCGTATACCAATAAGATATTTCAAGCTTTCAATTAAATAATCCAAGTTAAAATATCAAAGGTTTACACCATCCGGTAGCAAAGCTATAGGCAATAGAAAATTCTAGATTTGGAAAAAACTCAGTTACTTTCATCTCTCATCGACAGTTATGAATTAATTATACATCTCTTAAATGGAAACAGCCAAACAAAGTGGCTGGAACAATATGGTCCAGATTTTAAACTCACTCATATCTAATCCCACTTTATCGTCCCGGCTCAACCCCAGCCGGGACAATAAAATTTAATGACTAATTTTACCTGAACTCTGGCCTTGCTTGTACTTGTCAGTATTTCTCCATTCCTTTATTCAATATTTCTTCATTTTCGTATTTTTCTAATTTCGAACTATATCATATTAGAACTGTGGCAAAAAGTAAGATTTTGAATATATTATGATAACGTTCAAAACCGAAGTCCAGAGATGGAATTTAAAGAATTTGAGCCGCGGTTTAAATAATGTGCTACAAATTTAGGCTGACTGGTATACATGTGCTACGAATTCCTGTAAATGTGCTTTCCAACAGGACACTGTTATCAGACCATAGCAAACATGATACATTTTTCATATAATTATCCATTTATCTATGATTGTAATATCCATTTGCTTAAGAAAGAAAATTTTCAAAAGTTTAAATAGTCCTTTTAATGTTTTAATGGAACAAATAAAATTTTTTTTACCGTTGGGATAGTGCAGAATATGCACTAGAGCATATAGTAAATTGATAAAACAGCAATAACAGGTTCAAGCTGACAGAAAACCGTTATTTACAGCTCACAAAGGAAGAAAAGAAAGAATTAAGTAATTTATAATAATCAATGTAAACCCAACGATGAGGAACACATGTTTAATTATTAAACCCGTTTATATTTATAGTATAGTACTAGTCGAAATAACTCGGTGTTTATATCTCCCTTAAATGCTGCGTAAAAAGTCGTAAAATTAGAGTGTACGCTAGCATACTGTGTGAACTAAACGCAAACCCTGTCACATTTATTCCGGGAAATTTTTCAATTACAAGCATTTCTGTAATAAATATGGAAAAGTCTAAACACCTAAAACTAGAGTAAATTTCAATCATAACTCCTAAATTGAAGGAATTGAAGAGCTATTGAGAAAAATTCTAATTTATAGCTGTAGTTAAGTAAGAATTTTTCTTAAACTTGTTTGTAACATCAAAACTAGAGGAGCTAAGAAGTCACAAAGTTTCCTGCTCCTACTGTCTAAACTGTAGTGTAAGGGTTAAAGGGTACTGTTGTGAATCAGGGATTCCCCTCTTTACATCATGGGTCACTTGAACATTACGTTTCATTAAACAATTTGAATGTGAAATTTTCTAAATTAAATTAGATTAGAAAAATGTGTGAATCACGTTTTCAAATTATTCTGGAAGAAAATATGTTGATTTATTTTTTCAACTTTGGTCTCATACCTGGACATAATAAATTCAATCAGTTCTGAATGAACAGTTTTTTCTCCCAATTCCATCTCTTGCAAATATTTTTCATTTTGTTAATCTAATTTAAGGGTTAAAAACAGATGCCACAAGACTCGCATCAATCTTGCAGCATTTCACTATACAGAAGGAGAGGGACTGTATGCGACATTAATGGTGCGACTTTGTGACCTCGTAGCTCCGCTAAATTTGATTTTACGGAGAAGTGTGAGAGAGGCAAATTTATTTTGTTGCATAATAGAAATTATAGATTCTTTTTATGTAGGATTTAATTTTATAACGTGACCTTTTTTAATCTGACATGATCTCCGAATTTGACATATTTTCAAATTTTTTTGTCCATTGTTGACTTAGATGTAAAAATTGCGTTATTAGGATCATTTTCTATAATGATCAATTTTTTGACTTCTTTTTGTGGGAAAATGTTGAATATTATTAATGATAATTTTGCAAATGTGCAAATATGTCCAGAGTCGAAAAAAGTTTAATCATTATCTTAACATTTATTTAGGTCTTTTAAACTTTTAAAAATTTCCAACAGAGTTTTAACTAGCTTTTTGATTTATATCTGGCAAGCTGACAACCAAAATATTCAACTTTTAAGCTGTTTATTTTCTAGAAATAGAGGGATTATTAAACAAAACAAATATAGCCTAGCATTAAATAAAAGAGAAAATTCATTACTTTTTAATGCAAGTCAAATAAAACCACCTGGAAACAATTGATCTTAGTAATCCAGACCCCCTCCCCTTGTGTACACCACTATNTTGCTTATCTAGATCCAAGAGCAAGATGTATAATTAAGAGAGCTGAAAATCTTCAAAGCCCCCGCCTCTAATGTAGAATATACATTAGAATTCACTTTGAAAATGTACAGTTGAGTCTAGGTTCAGAGCTGGAAACTCCACCATTCTGATGTTTTCCGCTCAGAGCTGAAAACTTTAGAACGATGGATATCAAGATTAATGCTTGATGTCCTGGTTTTACAAAACCCGAGATTATTTTAATACGCATTCGATATCCAAGAATGAAGTATAAAATTCAACCAATCAGCGTATCATGTTAAAATTTACTTTTTAACTTTTAAAAAACTGTTTTTTTTTCTGGTGTTAATTGTGTCATGTCAATTGAACTAAACATCGATTAAATAAATGTAAGTTTTGGATTAATGTTTTTTAAGACTAACGTTTAAAATGATGACCGTCCTAAAATGTGATAAAATATATTTTTTAATAAGTTCATATTAACATGATTAAATTTATATTTGCTTAAATGATCTAAAAGCCGGCTTGTGAACAACTGATCGGATCGGATATTAGTTCAATCGATATAGCATTGTATCTGTAATTGTTATTAAACGTAAATTTTATACAGTAGGGATATCCAAAAATTAGGATTAAGAATAGAATCAAAAGTGATGTGTACATTGGATACTCAGATTGAGCGATCGGGATTAAAGATATCACATTCTAAAGTTTTCAGCTCAGGCTGAAAACTTTAGCATGGAATATCCTTAATCCCGACCGGTTAATTAATCTGGAGTTTAAAAATAAGGGGAGAACAAGCATTATTTAATCTCGAGATTAAGAAAAAGAGTGGATCAAGCATTCATCCCGATATCCACCATTCAAAAGTTCCCAGCTCAGGTCAGCTTAATGTACAAATATTATAAAAATAGTATTCTTAACGTTTTTTTTTTACTTAATCCTTGGAATTTTTTAATGTTGAAGAAATATTGAAATATTTTGATTAATCATCATCATATTTATTATTATGTTCGTAACCTGGATAGGAAAGGTCAGCAAAAAATATAATCTATCATATTAAAATACTCTCCAGCCCGTAAATATCTATTTTATTTGGTTCAGAAAAACTGCAAAATATGGATAAAACTAGAAAAAGAAATAAAGTTTAAGTAGATGGAAACAGCAAAACCTTCAGTTTAGTAAGTGCATTGATAAAAATGTTTTCAGATAACAAAATATGGGCCACTAGGCTTACAGGGCTCTTCGCCTGTTAGCTTTTCTCAAATTATATTATTTCACAGATTTTTCAGTAATGGTGGATTTTTAACATCAAGATATTAAGCCATGAGAAATATTATCTCAGGGGTAAAAATTATAGAAATTCCAAATAGTGTAACTTGAAATTAATGTAAAAATATTTTTTTTTTAAACTGACAAAGAAAGATTAAACACTTTCACCACGAAATTGTTATTATTTTTCTTCGGAAATGATTCCCACTTTGAAATTCCCACTAAGCGATTCAACTTTTTATCTGAAACTTGCAAAACTTGAATTCAACCATCTGTCAAATTGTAATTCTTAATTCATTGATTCCGCTTGGAGAGCTGCAGCTGATGCAGCAGGAACTTTAAATATTTTCAATTTAGTATTTTGGAAAGTAAAACTTTGGAACAGTTGCATAAATTATAATATCCGATATAATAAATATATTTGTAGTGAACATACATATATATAAATATCAATAATCCATACATTTCTTTTCAAAACCCTTTGTTGTTGGAATGATCGCATTAAAACAAAAGTTCCACAAGTGTTTGTTTGAAACACATCAAATCGGATTAGGTGATTTGAAATGTATTATCTGAGATGTTTGTGTGTAAAAATTAAGAAAATGTTTCCTTGAACGGATGAGTACAAGAGCTATGAGGGAGTAGAGGATACTGGTGAGAACCAGGGGGATCACGTAGAACAAGATTATGTCAGAGAAGAACAAGATCTTGTAGTACACCGAGGACCTGTTCATCTTCCACTTGCACTTCGAAATCTATCAAATTAAAAAAAAAATTGAACAAAAATGTTAGAAAAAAGGTGCAACTTTTATCAAATTTAAAAATTTAGTTTCTGACAAAGGAACTGAGTTTTTGTCACAAACTCTGATTTTCTTATCCTTATACCTTTGGAACCCGATTTCATAGACTTTTGATCTTTCAAACTATGAATTCTGCTAGGTCACCAAATCTAAGTTTGAAATATCAAAGGTTTGGAACATAGGGTTCTGAAGATATAGGGATTAGAAAATAAGAGTTTGTGTTGAAAACTCAGTTCCTTTGACAAGTTAATTGATTGACTCCCACTAATAAATTTACACTCAGCTCATCAAATGAGTTTGTTCATTAGAACTTAGACGGACAGGAGCTCAAGAAATATCATCCCATCCATTATTACTATTATTATTATTATTATTATTATTATAAAATTCGGAACTTTAGTTTGGTGTATCGTTAATCTTGAACGTTTGATCCATAAATTTAATTTGTTTTACTTGCAGGATATGACCACTACTGGATATTGAAAAGGAATTAAAGTAATCCGACGCCGGTTAACAGAACATCAAGATCAATTCATAATTCCGAGATTATGAAACATAAGTTCTGACTTCTGAGATGAAAACTTTTGAATGGAATATCCAGAATCCCGATCGGTTAATTAATCTGGAGATTAATAATAAGAGGAGAACAACTCAAACAAGCGTTATTTAATCTCAATATTAAGAAAAATAATGGATCAAGCATTAATCCCGATATCCACCATTCAAAAGTTCCCAGCTCTTTTCATATGTTTAGTAGTTTATCAATGTTTAAAGTTTTAGATTAATAGGAAACCCTCAATACAAAATCCCATCTGAAGTGCATTTGCTTTAAGCTCTATGTGGAGTGGACTAATCAAATTAGTTAAACTAAATTTAAATTGTTCATACAATGCGCAGTTTTAATTAAATAACCTCGCTTGGCAACTGATCTCATTAACATTTTTTAGACAAAATAGAACACTTTACAAGGGAAATTAAGAAGAAGAATTGGGAAAACAATTTTTAATCTCTCCTATCGAAAGTCTGAAAACAATACTTCATTATTTTCAAAGAGAGCGTGAGTGATGAGAGCAAAGTTTCATGAGAGTGTGTGAGTGATGACGGAGTTTCATAAAAGTTTTTGGAGTGATGAGAGTAAAGTTTCATAAAAGTGTTTGAGTGATGAGAGCAAAGTTTCATGAAAGTGTGTGAGATATGAGAGTAAAGTTTCATTAGAGTGTGTAAGTGATGATTGTAAAGGTTTGTGCAAGTGTGTGAGTGTTGAGAGTAAAGTTTTATTAGAGTGTATTAGTGATGAGAGCGAAGTTTCATGACAGTGTGTGAGTGATGAGAGTAAAGTTTCATAAAACTTTTTGGATGATGAGAGTAAAGTTTCATAAAAGTGTTTGAGTGATGAGAGTAAAGTTTCATTAGAGTTTGTAAGTGATGATTGTAAAGGTTTATGCAAGTGTGTGAGTGATAAGAGTAAAGTTTCATTAGAGTATGTGAAAGATAGAGGTCTGACTATCCTATACAGCTCCACTATTGACTTAATTATTGGATCATTAATAAATAAACACCAATAATTAATGCTATTTCTAAAGGCCAGGATAAAGCAGCTGATTACTCACAACGATCTCTAATTTTTCCCTTTTATACAGTTATAACCAGAAAACTCTGGGATAGGAAGTCGACTTTTAGACTCAAGTTATGTCTTTGAATAGTCCAATGAACAGAAGACACAGCAATTGTGCTGTGTCTACAGACCCATTTCACTAACTAATTGATTAAATAACATCTATATAGATATTTGCTTAGTAACACAATAAAATGCACTTCGGTATTGCTTTAATGTCGTCTTCCTAATCTACAGTTTTCTGGCTATTACTGTATTTGCAACCTGAAATCCTGGATTTCTGATAGATCAAAAAGCTAAAGTTTGAAATAACAAAGGTTTACACTATCAAATTGCAAAGATATGGGTTTTAGAAAATTAGAGTCTGGAAACAATCAGTTCCTTAAACTTCTGCAGTTCTTGTAGACATAAAGCCTTGAGTTCGGAACTTATGAATATAGAGCAATGGTTGCACAGGGACCGAATTAATGAAATTGAGAGGTCGCCGCACCGGTTCTAATCTTGAATCACCGATTCAAATTCTCTGGAATCTTTATATTTTGAATCAATGATTCAAATTTAAACCGACAGTCGGTAGTTAACCGACTTGTGTATTATTTTTAAAGCAGTCCTTAGTTCAGTTTGACTCAGTTGCCGCCAAGGTTTGAAGGTAGACGGTCCGGGTATCGTGAATATACCATAATACTAGGAAAACCATGAAATCTCACTTAGGACTAAAAATAACTTTTGCTTTAAATAAATCTTATTAAAAACGTATTATCTATGGGAGATAGGAAAAATACAATTTGCAATGGAAAAAAATATAAAGAAAAAAATTGATTTAAAATTATTCCAATTTGGGCAAAAATTAACGAAGATATTCTTGTTTTTCCTCTAAAAATGGAAGATTTTAAATTGTGGTTCCGAAGTAAGATTTAATTGCCCGGATTTATACGACAGAGATAAGAAATAAAATTAAAGAATTAACACGTTTAAAAATAACAAAATACCTTCCTCATTGCTTTGATAAAATTGTACTTAAGTGTATTGTTGTTAATCAGACGTAACTCTTTAATTGGGGGGGGGGGGGTCAATATAAATAACTCTATTCGACAGGATCCCTTTGACGACAAAAAATAGAAGTAACTTTTTCTTTTATTTGTTTTAACTTCTAAACAATCAGAAAATGGCTTTTCGTCTGTTTTCATAATATTAAAAATATCAAAAATAAAAGAAAAGGAGAAACTGATTCTAAATTTTTTATTTTATGACACCAGCTGTACTTTTGTTTCCTACCTTTCCAAAGCCTTGAATACAACTGTCCTCTACATGTACAAGGAAGATCCAGGGGAAGCAGTACACTATAGCAAACATCCAGCAGTACATAATTATTCGCTTGGCTCGTGACGGGGTACAGATGTACTAAACAAATCAATTATTAAAATAATGTAAAGAGTGACTTTCAAAAATACCAGGGGTTCTTGAGATTATAACAGTTCTCCAGAGCACTCAGGGACATCCTAATATTTTCCAGCGGATTTCATCCCCTCCCCACCATGGGTCTTTTATATGATGAATTTAAAAACTAAGAATATTTAAAAATCATCGTCCGTGTAAGCATAAAATTCAAAAGATTTAAATATTGTTTATATAATCCAAGATTAATCTAAAAGTTTCTATTTTCTCTTTGAAATGCACTCGAGTAAATCTGCAGCACCCAATAGGAGCTGTTATAATATTTGGTTGCAGTTTAGAAGGTATATCTACAGTACCCAATAGCAGCTGTAGTATCTGATTGCAGTTTAGAAGGTATATCTGCAGTACCCAATAGCAGTTTGAGTGATGAGANTGCAGTAACATGTAGCTGTTGTAGAAGTTGGTTGCAGTTTAGAAGGTATAACTGCAGTACCATGTAGCTGTTGTAGTTACTGGTTGCAGTTTAAGATGTGAGGTAATAAAGCATTGAACGTATTATTGCCCTATACTCAATGGTTGCAAATAAAAGTTCACAGCAAAGCACTCTAACCTAGATGTAGCTTTAAATGAAGAATTAAAGACTTCTTTTAAGTTTAAAAGATGCAGCTGTTCAGAAGAAATTTAGAAACAAATTCTTTAATTTAAAATCTCTTTATTGAGAACTGCATCAAAGCTATTCCAATACTATTCAGCCATATCATTTTAAATTTAGATATTTGTGATAAACATTTAAGCTTTTTATGAAATTTTCCGATTTTCATCTTTCAGTATGGTTTTTAATGTTTAAACAATTGAACTACTAGACCTACAGGGTGATTCTCTGTTCCTTTTTTCTAAAAAGTTAGATTTCTGTAAATGCTTTTTTTTCGTACATTATATTTGATTTCTCAGATTTCCTGATTTTATTGGTGGATTTTCATTTTTATCCTCAGACTGACTCATAACGCTCCGTGGGGACATTTGGGCCTAATGGTTCACTTGTCATGGCGGTTTAATGGATTTAAAAAAAAAGCTTGTTAACTAAATTGTCAGGGGCGCAACTAGGGGGGGGGGGTGTTATTCATTTGGCGTCCCGTCCCGTTTTGTTTAATACAGTTTGCGCTAGCTAGTTAAAGATCGGCCCGGTTCATGAAATGAACTGGAGTTAATAGTGTGGAGGGCACATAATTCTCCCTAGTACTGTCACGTTTTTCCTTATATTGTATTTCTGTGTATTGTATATATTGCTGTTGCGGGTTCACAGTCGGTCATTAATGATTCAATGTACCCTCTCGTTTTGCCATGTAAAGTCAGTACAGTGGTACAGTACAACTCTAGCTGCATACAAGTCGGTCAGGTACTTTGAAAAGTTTTCAGTGAGGAGAGAGAGGGTCAGTTTTTAAAAGAAAAACTCTTGGCTGATGCTGGATCCTGGAAGGCTTTGAGATTATTATAAAATAACTTTGTTTTACATAATCTCAGGACAAACAATGTACTTTATTCCAATATTTAAAACTTCAAAAGCTAATGCAGTGATGAAAATCGTGTAATATTTAGTCAAGGACTTGAGAAAAAAATGAGATATGGGATCTTTTCTGGTGATTTTTTAATCCCTATATCCTTGCAACCCGATCTCATAGTTTGATCTTTCAAACTATGAATTCTGATAGATCAAATAATCTAAGTTTTAAACAGGAAAGGTTTACATTATCAGTTTGCAAAGTTTTGTTTGTGACAAAAGCTCAATTTCTTTTCTTTGTAAATCAAAAGAGTTGCTTCTTATACAGATTAAATTAATGCTCTTTACACGTACCTCTGACCCTTTAGTAAAAGTAATTTCAACCTAATGTCTGACCGATACCTTGTTGCTCCGGCTGGTCCTATTGAGTGCCTTATTTACCCAATGTACGGGCAATACAGTACAAACTGGGAACGGAATGGTTGACCCGGCTCGGAAATTCAAATGTACTACGGCTGCACGTGTTTAGTCTTTAGTGTTTGGTTAACCAATTTTAAATTAACCATTTTCACTTCTTTTTTAAATTTCGGGGGAAAAACGATTAGAATTAAACAAGTTTAAAATATAAATATTAATATACCATGTATGTACTATTTAAAAAGCAAATAAATACTTAATCTATGGAATTCAGTAATTCTGAATTTTAGAAGAAAAAAAAACATCATGCCTGATATTTCATTCTTAATTATACTATACGACACTGGGACAAACAAACAAAAACAAGGAAGAATAAAAACTAAATCCTGCATATTATGCAATGGCTTATATTTATGACTCTATAAGGTGCATGTTAAATAAAATATTTTACTGCAACATATTCATGTATAAAGAGCATTTACTTCATACTACATTGTACTGTATAGCACACTGTTGTACAGTACTTAACTGATTTTGTTCACTGATAATAAGACCGAACTGATTTTGAAGTGTCACTAGACCTTAGTCCTCTGGTTTACCTGACCATCCCAATTACACTATTGTAGCCCTACTTATGAGGATTTCATTGATTCAAAGTGTTTGTTTCTAACTTTAGTTTTGTTATATTTTAGCACCAGAATGTGGATTTGTCCCGAAGATTATAGAAAATCTAACTTGTCCTCTTCTGTTAAAACTCCTTAAAGGATTAAGATATTATAGAAAGAATATCTTAGTTATTAACTTAACAAAACTAACAAAACTGAAGATATATTTCAAGGCATGAAGAGCTCACAGGAAGGCGTACTTGTAAAAACATTGGCCGTGAGATCGGTTAAGACAGACTCACTAAACAATTTACCCGAAAAATAAAATTGTTTTTCGGTTTTCAGATTTGCAAAATTTTAATTTTTATATCGGGGGAAATTTTTATTTCTTAAAAATCCCTTTCTACTGAATATTCAATTAGAGTTTTAATTAATCATCAATTTTTGTATTTGCTGTCTTTTGTTCAATTGATTTTCTATTCTTACATAATGATAGCCCAATGATTTTTCTGATCTTGAATAATTACTCTTTGTATATTTTATTTCCTGGCTATTTACTTTTTTTCTCATAGTTACCGAACAATCTCTAAACTTTCTCAATTATATATACATCAATTCTCTATTCTCTAAATTCTCTCTGTTAGCTTGTATTTTCTAAATTCTTTCTGTTAACTTGTATTCTCTAAATTCTCTCCGTTAGCTTGTATTCTCTAAATTCTTTCGGTTAACTTTTATTCTAAAAGTTCTATTTTTTAACTTTTCTTCTCGAAATTCTATCTGCTAATTTTTACTTTCTAAACTATCTCTGTTTATTTCTATTCTCAAAATTCTCTGTGTTAAATTGTATAATCTAAATACTCTCTTTAACTTCTATTATCTTTTTTCTCTTTGTGTATTCTATTCTCTATATTCTTTCTGTTAACTTCTATTCTCTAAATTCTCTGTGTTAATTTGTACTATCTAAATTCTCTCTGTTAATTTGTATTATCTAAATTCTCTCTGTTAATTTGTATTATCTAAATTCTTTCTGTTAACTTCTATTCTCTAAATTTTCTCTGTTAATTTGTATTATCTAAATTCTCTCTCATTACTGCTATTCTCTAAATTCTCTCAGTTAACTTTAACTTTCTCAATTCTCTCAGTTAACTTTTCTCTAAATTCACTCTGTTCACTTTCTGTTATAACTCTAAGCTCATATTCCCTCTAAAATTCTCATTTTGATTCTCAGAATAAGATCCTTGTAATTCTCTACAAATGAAGTCCTTGAGCCAAATAGTCTTTCAAATTTAATAATTTAAACATCTCTAAACTAATTGATGAAAATCTAAACCAACTTCTGCCCTAAAAATAGACTTTTGTTGATATTTTCTACTACTACTAATTGCTGCCAATGAAAAAATCAATTTTTTAATTGGAAGTACTTTAGAATGCAAATAGTATAACTGAATAAACTTTGTATAATCGTCTCAGAACTTGATTTCATCATTTCTTGAAGCCTCTGTATTTCCGTTGTCATTATAATAAGACCAAAGAAACACATTGTTTAATTATAAATTTTGTTTACTTTGAAGGATAGTCAAGACCATATCAGAACTTTTCACATCTATAATTTACCTTAAACTTTTTCTTAAATATTTTGCAATTAACGAACCCCGCAGGAAATGAATAGAGTTCTATGAGTGAATAAGATAATAGATTGAAGAGGTCCCATCTTGACAAAAAGGTATAATTCTTCTTATCCTGCCATTTTCAATCAAATCATTGTCCCAGGAAAAATATAAATATTATCAATGGATAATATTTGGCGAAATTCATAAGCTTTTTTTTCGTGGATAGATAACAATATACTTAAACTTTCATTAGATAACAGATAGACATATATAATGGATGACAATAAACCTGAGTTTTCATGGATGACAATATACACGCGTTTTCTTTGGATAACATTATACCTGAGGTTTCAAAGGATGACAATATACCTGAGCTTTTATTGAATGACAATATACCTGAGCTTTTATTGGATGACAATATATATGACTTTTCTTTGGGGTGGACAATATTCCTGAGCTTTCATTGGATGACACTACACCTGAGCTTTCATTGGATGACACTATACCTGAGCTTTAATTGGATGACACTATACCTGAGCTTTCATTGGATGACAATATTCCTGAGCTTTCATTGGATGACACTACACCTGTGCTTTCATTGGATGACACTACACCTGAGCTTTCATTGGATGACACTATACCTGAGCTTTCATTGGATGACACTAGAGCTTTCATTGGATGACACTACACCTGAGCTTTCATTGGATGACACTACACCTGAGCTTTCATTGGATGACACTATACCTGAGCTTTCATTGGATGACACTACACCTGAGCTTTCATTGGATGACACTACACCTGAGCTTTCATTGGATGACACTACACCTGAACTTTCATTGGATGACACTACACCTGAGCTTTCATTGGATGACACTACACCTGAGCTTTCATTGGATGACACTACACCTGAGCTTTCATTGGATGACAGATGGCAATATATCTCTCCACTGTAAACGCTGTTAGTGAAAGTGCGGACACATTTATTCCCAGATACTGGAGGTATATTATACTGGAGCAACCTACAGGTCCCCAGATCCATCTAAACACATATATTTTTAAACTGGAGCAATTAGTGGAATATACTAGAGAAACTAGTAAAATAAACTGGAGCAACTAGTAGAATATAATGGAGTAACTAGTAAAATAAACTGGAGCAACTAGTAGAATATAATGGAGTAACTAGTAGAATATACTAGAGCAACAAGCAGAATATAATGGAGCAACTAGTATAATAAAATGGAGTAACTAGTAGATTAACAGGGAACAGCTAGTAGAAAATAATGGATCAACTATTAAAATATAAGGCAGCAACTAGTTGAATATAATGAAGTAACTAGTAAAATATACTGGAGCAACTAGTAGAACATACTGGAGCAAATAGTAGAATATAATTGAGTAAATATTAGAATATACTGGAGTATCTAGTATAATTTATACTGGAGCAACGAGTGGAATATACTGGAGTGACTAGTAGAATATAATGGAGCAGCTAGTAGAATATATGTAACAAATCTAGATGCTAATACTCTAACGATTACTTTACTCAAAGTCTAATGAGATCATATTTAACTAAATCTCTAGCCAAATCTTAAGGCTCTCTATCTCTAGCCAACACTCAAGGCTCTGTATACGTCCGTTCTAATCAACAAATGATATTCAACTACTTTATTTATAAACAGGTAAAAATGAACTGACCGGGCTAGCCCGGCTGGGTCAACATACAAATAGTTAAGATAATAATATTATTAATACAGATAATGAATTAGAATTGCACATCATGGTAGATTATATATAAGAGAGCATCTAGTAGAATATATTGGAGCAACTACTAGAATATACTGGAGCAACTACTAGAATATACTGGAGCAACTATTAGAATATACTGGAGCAACTACTAGAATATACTAGAGCAACTACTAAAAAATACTGGAGCAACTACTAGAATTTACTGGAACAACTACTAGAATATACTGGAGCAACTACTAGAATATAATAGAGCAACTACTAGAATATAATGGATCAACTACTAGAATATACTGGAGCAACTACTAGAATATACTGGAGCAACTACTAGAATATACTGGAGCAACTACTTGAATATACTGGAGCAACTACTAGAATATACTGGAGCAACTACTAAAATATAATGGAGCAACTACTAGAATATACTGGAGCAACTACTAGAATATACTGGAGCAACTACTAGAATATACTGGAGCAACTGGTAAAATATGTTTTATAAATGTATATATAATCAGAAAATACTTCTACTAGAATGTATAAAAGCCTTGAACTACATATAATAACATTAATCAAGATATCTTTATTTCTGTTTATTGTATGGTGTAGTGTGTACATTGTACAGTGTACACAAAACTATTTTATTAACTTATTTAACCCTTTCCCTGAAAACAACCAAAGCCGTCCCCCCCCCCCCGTCATAGGCGTATCCCAGGAGGGCTCTGTGGGAGCTCCCAGTCCCAACGCCCCGCTTTATAGAAGAGAAAAGTTTTATTTCAAGGGATGGTAATGAGAGCAACTGGAGTATCAAACAATGTTAAAAGGACTGTAAGCGTAATTTCAAGTGACTTTCCATGCAAAGATTGCATTGCCCGATTTTCGACGGTACATTAGATTAATTAACAATTACAAATAGGGCGCTAGATGTCGTCTTTTCAAGATTTAGGTGTTTTCCTTTCACAATAATGAGGTTATAGTGTATAGAGTGATGATGTACGCTAATCCTTTACTAATTTTACAGACCATAAACTATATCGAGAGCGTACTGCATATTTGTTTATTTTAAGTTGATTTCTACGTTTAAAAAATGCTAAAATTATTAGAAAAATTATAGTATGTATAATGTACACTTTAACAACATACTATTCCCATGCAATTCAGAGCTGCTTGTGCATGGATTGGTTCAGAATGAAAATGCATAAAATAAATGACTCCCCCCCCCACTACCTTTTCTGGGTTATAAAACAAAATAACTTTCTGATAATAGAAAAATAAATGTTAAGAAAATATTTGTTGTCTTTTCTATGGCCCCAGTAAAGTGTTATTATAAAGTAAAATATTAGATTCGTCAATAGCAAATTGAAAAATATAAAATTTTGCAAAACAACCAGAAAAATATGCAAAATCATTTCCTAAATTTGCTTTATTTGTACAATTTCATAAATGATAAAATATATCTATATTGATATACAGATTAGTCTGGGGAAATCTACACAGTTGTGAAAACTTATCACCAAGTAGTAAGATCCGCCCGACCTCAAGAGCTTCTACGTCTTAGCCCTCATGGTCTAAACCCACAAATGCTTTATATGTTACCCATATTCGCTCATATATTCGAAGACTTAAAATTGTCTAAAAAACTCTATAACAAAAGCCGTAATTATGGCTTATTTTTGGGCATTTTTAAAAGATATTTGTCATTTTCTATAGATTATTACCATTGTAGCAATAAATATTAGAAGGTTATGAGTTTTGACAGTTTGATGTTTGCAATCTTAGCTTGATTGAAAATTGATGATCACAATTTGTGAAAAGTAAAAAACAAGCTTGCACAGAATGATACTTTACTGACCACCTGAAACTCTATATTTCTGTCGATCTGAAGGTTGAATTTAATCTTTTTTTCTTAGTGTAGTCCAGGTGTACTTAATGAATTGACAACGACAGCTACATTTTCAAAACTAGAGGAAACCATTAATTTTAGAATACAGGCTGAGTAAATGCCGGGTAGTCTGAATTTTGCATCCTTTGTGTGTAATCCAGTAAATTAATGTCAATGGTATCTCTTGCTAAAAACAGCATATTTTTTGTTTGATTAAAATATGCTCCATTGTTGGCGCTGCATGCTCTGTGAACAGTCTAAACTTCTAGTTGTAAGGTTGTAAAACCGGCCTTTAGATTTTCTTTAGATTTTCTTTAGATTTTCTTTATATTTTTCAGGATTTACATCTTTTGACTCATTAAAGGGACTGTGCGCGTAATTTCAGGTGAATCTCCATGCAAAGATGTCCAAGTCACAACGGTATCCTTGAAACCTTTATCTGCAAATTATTGTGGAAGATATTTTCGTTTTCTAGTTTGAAATGTTTTCTGTATTCGTATTTGTTTTTTTCCTGCAGTGAATTAGCGTAGCGTACTTTTGTAGAGAAACCACAAATGAAAATAATCAGTTTTTAAAGTTATAAACATGATGTATCATTCATACCTAATCATAAAAAGCTTGTAAGGGTACCGTTCTCATCCGTTATACCACCTTTGGATGGAGGATCACTTGAAATTACGCTCACAGTCTCTTTAACTAATCAATTGACATGAAAGAACAAAATGAACTAAACAAGCCAGAGTTTTGAACTTCAAATTGACATAACTTCCTTTCGATCGGATATAGTAAGTCGATTTTCAAAAATGTGTAAGGTTTTCAAAATAGAAACATGATGAGAGCGTTTTTTAACTGTTTTTAGTTAAACGAATACTTAAGTAATATTAATAGATTTATGCATCGCAATGTGAATATTTTACACTAAGAAATGTTTCTGAATGGTGGTTGCTTGTTGATTCTATCCTATCTAAACAATACATTGTGTGTTAATTTAGCGTATAACTTGTACAATAAATATAAGACAAAAGTTCTTTGCGATACTTTACTTATTTCTGAAATAATTCCTTCGATTGGATCAAATTAGGTATTTGGCTGCAATTCCCCTAAAATGTATTTATTAAGTACACTAGTTTTGCTCAAACATAAGAGGCGGGAAGAATAAGTTTAAATCAAATAAAGATAGAATAGAAAAGAAAAATCATTTAAATAAATACTAGCTCTAGAATTGAAGATTTTTAACAATAATCAGTCAGATATATTGAACGATAACCTACGTATTATAAACGCAAACATGAAATCGAAAGAAAAAATCTATTTCTTAACCCATTATTTTTTAAACCTGATGGTGTAAACCTTTCATATTTCAATCTTTGACTTTTTAATCTGACATAACTCAAGGTTTAAAGGATATAAGACATCAAATTGTAAAGAAATGGGATTGTGAAAATTAGAGTTTGAAGTGAGTGGTCAGTTTCTTTTTTCACAGACAAATATTGGATTTTTTATCATACATATATATACATATATATATATATATATATATACAGGGTGTACCTGAAAAAAGTGTTTTTAAGGCTTTTTAGCCTGCTAAATATTGTTCAAATGTTCTGAAAAGTGTGCATTTCAGGTACAATGCCCAACAATGGGGCATTGTACCATGGTGGATGATACATTTTTCTCTAAAATGCCTTCAAAATTAGACTTAATATTCGAAAATGTGCTTGGTCCAATTTTCGAAGATATTAGTTGCGTTTTTACCCACTAAACGTCGTTTTATTTTACTACAATGTGTATGGTGTGTTCGTCATATCCATAAATGGGGAGGTCGTCGTTGAAACATTTTACTCTAAAATTCCGTTTTAGTCTTCAAAATGTAATCGATATGTAGTCGGTCCCTTTTTCTTTTTTCGTCTTTTATTTATAAAATTTTTCAATTATATCATTGAAAATGTGCAATTTATTCTATTCTGTCGAATAAAACTTTTTAAAAATTATAATTTAAATTTTTTTCTTAATCTTAGAAAAGGAGATTTTCGAATATTATATCTAATTTTGAAGGTTAAAACGACAGTTAAGAGAAAAATGTTNCCCCCCCCATTTATTGGTACTATACCTCTTAACAGCACTTTTCAGCACTTATCCGATGAACGTCAAAACGGCTGAACCAAACTAATATGACTGGCTGGTAGAAATGGAAAAATTGTGTCCGGAAAAATGTCGATTTTCAAATATTTTAGAAATCCACTAAATTCTGTATTTTACAATGACGAAGAAAAAATGGCGACTTAAAAAACAACATTTAATCACTTTAACATAAAAATGTTCCTAGAAGAATGGCGAGATTGTCCTCAAAACCTATTTTCTAAAAAGTTTGTAAAACATTTTCATCCATGAACACAGTGTTTGGAGTGTAATAGAAAGAAAATTAATCAAGAGAAAGTTATTTTTTATCTTTTGCTTTCAGATAAAAGATCGTTAAAAGTTTTGCCGACATTGTTATTTTTTGAAAAACTTTTCAAAAATCCCACAATGATTTTTAACCAATTCACTAATTGCTTTCTAAGGAAGTAAAAATGTCTTCTCAAGATTTAATTTAAGGCCTTGGAAAAATTAACAACCAACCGGGATTAAGTTAAAGTAAAAAGAAAAGCAAAATAAACAATTTGAATCAGTCTAAAACGGAATTGTTAATCAAAATTCTCTTTAATTTTCATGTAATCATAAAATTATAATAAGATTTCTTGTAATAAACTTAAACATTAGTTGGATATTCTAATCTGGGATTCATGATTAACTCTCATAACTCTCCATTCATACAATAAAAACTAATAACAATCTATCCATATTTAAAAACTTTTTATTTAAGGACGCTAGAGGACTAGAATTCGTCTTTAGCACACTATGCTTGTATATACATTGTACATATTCACAAGTCTATGTAGTATGTACATTACTAGGCTTTTAGGGCGCTTCGCGCCCATCTTCTATTTAAATTGTGAACATGTTCTTTTTGTTTACATTTTAAAACAAAGTAGAAAAAAATTTTGCGGATTTTTAAAAAAAAATTCGCAGATTTTCAAGAATTTAAATTTTTTTTTACAAAATTAGAAACCTTTAAAACACATCTTTTTTTAATTTTTATCATTCATAAACCTTCCCTGTGGTCACGTGATGGCCCACAAAAAAGTTGGGCCCGATCGGTTCAGCCGTTTTGACGTTTATCGGATACAAACAAACAAGCAAACAGCCAGAAAGACAAGCCAAATTTATATGTAGATACGTACATAGCATATTTACGACTCTATGTTACACTCTAAGTCACAGAAAGAATAAACTATGAATAAGTCCCAATTTCTTTACAAAAATCAAAAAACTAGGATTTTATCTTAAAACTTTTTCTCCTGAGAACTTAATAGACGGTGGTTAACACTAACAAAGGTTCATTTTACAGTGATAACCAGAAAACTCTGGAATAGGAAGTCGACTTTTAAACTCAAGGACTTTTAATAGCACATTGAACATGACGCACGTCACAGCAATTGTGCACTGTAAATAGACCCATTTTACTTAATAAGTAATTTAATAACTTTCAAGTAAAGCTATATGCTTTAAACAACTTCAAATATTCTTCAGAGATGCCTTAATGTCGTCTTCCTAGTCCACAGTTTTCTGGTTATGACTGTACAAAAAAAATAGTAAAATAAATATGTTGACGTTGATGTTATTACGCCAAACTTTGCCCTTATTTATGTCAGTGTTTTCACTTATATCATTCTTAATATTCTATTTAGATTCATTAATGGATATAATGCACAAGAGAACATAAGAATTCTCTTTTGTTTATTTTTAATGCACTTTTCACCCCTAGAGGTACTTTAAGCTACTTTAAAACCTTTAGAGTGGGGAAGGGAGCAAAAACAGACAATAGTCAAGAACTTACTTGTCCCCCAGCATGTGGTAGGATATGATCTCCTGGGGGCAGGAGGAGAGCAAGGTGATCAGGTCCGCCAGGGCCAAGGAGACCAAGTAGCTGTTGGTTGTGTTGTGCAGGGACTTCGTGTTCATCACCGTGATAATGACAATCATGTTCCCTGTATATCAAGACATTGTTTTACTAGACATAACAAAATGTAAAAACTTAAAGGAATTGTTCACAGTTCTGTGAAAGAATAAGGAACCCACCCCATACCAAAGATGTAAAACCTAACTCTATATGGAACAGAAAAGATTGGAACACTATCCCAGAAAATAACAAATTCCCCCTCTGCTTGACCCCCCTGCTGTCCCCCCCCCATAAAACCGTTTCTATAAGGAACACAAAAAAAATTGGAGAACTATAACCCCCCCCATAAAAGCCGAAACATAACCAAGAATCCTGATAAGGAACACGAAGGATTGGAACACTATTGTTGATAATATCCCTATCACCCAAAAAAGGTTATATAATTCCTAGAATTCCTATAAGGAACACAAAGGATTGGAACACTGTTCCAGAATACTTAAACAGATCATCATACATCTCCGGTGTAGAGCAGTTTGAAGTACTAGATCCACAGATCATAAAAATATTTACAAATTGTGATGTTACTAAAAAGGGACAGATAAGGCTATTTTCTTACAAAATTCAAACATGGGAAACCCTCTCCCCTATCTTTATGATACTGAAAATAAAACAAAGAAAATTTAACTACTTTCTCTTTAATTTTTAACATTAGAAATTATAATAAAATTTCTTAAATTCTTTTTGTTTCGACTCAATAAAAGATTACTGAACTATTAAAACATTGCAATAATACAACTTGCATAATACTCGAGGAGAATTTAGAGAGATTTCTCATTTATATAAGTACTCATAACTTCTGGGATAATTGCATAAGATTAGTTACCCCGTCTGGACAATATTTATATCTCTGCCTATTCCACTCTAAACTGCTCAGGTTAAGCTCCAAGTCGTCCTGGAACTCGTTCTCCGGGGTTCTCTCCAGGGTTGAGGATACGTTCCACTCCGGGTTCGACCCCGAAGTCGGAAATATGTCCCACCCTGATCCGTTTCCTCTCATCGTTGTATTCGGTTCAGGTCTAAATATTCTAATCTGAAAATAGTGAAAGGATAAAAATGTAAAAATCACGTAAACGTGAAATTGGGATTTTTGTGAAGAGAGGGATATTTATTTTTTGTTGTGTCATTTTATCTTTACAAGAGGCGAAATATTCTAAAAATTAAATCTTTTATTTTGCTCGGACAAAACCATGCAAAGTTTACGGTTAAAATTCTTTTTTTTCATTATCTAAAGGGTCGTCTACCGTCATTTTGTAAAGCTAGCCCCCCCCTGGATGTGCTTGAAAGAGCGAAAAAGGATATAAAGATAAATCCATAAAGATCGAAAGATTGCAAGGTAAAGTCTAAAGATTGAGATATTGAACGACGGAGAGATAAAAAAGAAATAGAGCAACCTAACTAAGCTTACAGTGCCTACTGTTGTGATATACAGTAATATGACCGAATAGTGGGGTTTAAGCGGAGAGTTACTGAGAAAGATAGATAAATATATAAAAGAGAAGGCTAGAAAGAAAAAAGTAGGGATAAATCTGTGTTACCATACACACTGCATACACTTGAAACAAGATGGTTTCCTACGGTTTCGATATCTTTTATGCAAAATATCATCTTTAAGGATCAAATAAAATCACAAAATCTTCCTTTTGTAATTTTTCCAATTTTATCTTTAACAAAAAAAAACAAGATAACAATAAATTCTTTAAAAATAATTTCGCGGAACTATTCACAGTTATAAAACTTGTTTCTAACTTTTCTCACCCTGTGTAGCCTTGGGTTGAAATTTATCAATGCTGAATAAGTAATTGAACTAGAGGCCTGATTCAACTGCTTCAATTCTCAAAGGGAGTTCAGCAATCCTTGGTTGAAACGAAAATTTCAAATTTGGATGGCTGAAAATTAGAGAGTTCAAAACTTCAAAACATCTAAATTTCCGTATTTTTTAAACATGACTTTTTCCGAGTATAAAATTAACTGTTGGGAAGAAACTAAACCCCTAGTTTTGCATAAACATATCAAAATTCTCCCTGCTTACTTTAATTTCAAATTTAATTTGGAATTTAATAAACTTTGCATTATTTTCATGGAAAAGTTAGAATGCAGTTGAGCGTTTAAAATTTTAAATTCAGAATTCTGAAAAATGTTAATTTTGTATACAGTTTTAGACAAATTATCAAAACATAGGAACTGAGTTTTCTTATCGCAAACTGTAAAAGTTATATCTTTTCAAACAGATGGTGTCAACGTACCTATGATATTTGATTATAAAAATTCATAGTTTCAAATATGGTTGAACGTTCATGGTGTTCTTTCAATGCAAGATTGTTTTAAACAATAAGATGTCTCTATAGTCTATACAAATGCATAAAAATCAAAGTTTCAATTTCAGGAAAGCTTTATAAAGCAATTGAGATTTTTTCGAATGTTGAAAATATAGATTAGAATTTGCCCCTTCCCTTTGTCGTTTTACCCTTTGTCGCGCTTTTAACCATTTTTGGTTTAACCTTTTTTCGTTTGACCATATGTCGTTTGATCATATGTCGTTTGATCATATGTCGTTTGATCATATGTCGTTTGATCATATGTCGTTTGATCATATGTCGTTTGATCATATGTCGTACATATGTCGTTTGATCATATGTCGTTTGATCATATGTCGTAAGACCATATGTCGTTTGATCATATGTCATTTGACCATATGTCGTTTGACCCTTTTTTCGTTTGACCATATGTCGTTTGACCATATGTCGTTTGACCCTGTGTCTTTTGACCCAATAATGTCGGTGAATCGCTCTATTATAATACAAGAAATTACTATGCCTCTATCAATGTACAGAAAGATCAAATTTTCGATTTCAGAAAAGTTTATTTTAAAGTTGAAGTATATCATAAAAGATTTAAGATTGTCGAGGTAATTTCTCAAGGTTTAGAATTCATTTCAAGATTAAAAGGGAACGGTCACGGTTTTTCAGCGGCTTCGGACGACTCTGAGCCAATTCTAATTATTTTAAAGTATTGATCCGATTTTTTCAAACAAACCAGGCGAAATATCCGGAATTTATTTGGTGTACTCATTGTGGCAAGGTCCGCGGGTTAGTAATTTTTCAAGGGGGGGGGAGGGGTTACAATGAGTTTAGAAGTAAATAAACATTTATATTTATATATTATATGTCGAGGCATAATTTTTTTGACCTGCAAACCTCAGAAAAGGTTAATATTTATGAATCAAGACTTCAAACTTATTACTGCTATATAGTTTATTTTATATAGATAGTTTGTCTGCTTTGAATTATACTTTTATTCCCTTACGACTTACTAGCTATTGAGAAGCTTTTAGCATTTAAAACAAAACAAAAAATTAGTAAATAATGTTTATACTCATGTATCATAAACCTGTTTATATTATATTATAATGTTTATATTCATGCATCATAAACCTGTTTATATTATATTATAATGTTTATATTCATGCATCATAAACCTGTTTATATTATATTATAATGTTTATATTCATGCATCATAAACCTGTGTCCAGAATAGATATTATGTTCAGATTTGAAGTTAAAAGCTAGAAAACATAAAAGAATGTGTACTACTGAAATGTTTAGGTACATGAACAGCCGAAAATTATTTTCACTGTAGGGAAAAATGATGAAAAAGTATTCAAAAACTCAATATAAGGCATAAAAATCTTCAGTTTTCTCGAAACCCTCCTACATCGATGTTTAGAAAACTACCCCTGCAACTGCAAGCTGGAGACATTAGTTCAAAAATCTTCTTCTATAAACCTAGCTTTCCTTTATCCATAATTTCAATTTGTCTCAATATCGTTACTCTTTTTTAAAAATCATTAACCTGTTTTTAGAAGAAAAAATAAGTTTCTCAAAATGCAAGAAATTATTTTAAATTTATTTTTATAGAAAGTGCATTTAATTTATTTTATTTGAAGAAAAATGACCTTAACACCCTTATTGCCTTTTTCCCCACTTATTTCTATCTTTCTTTCACTTACGCCTATAGGCAACCTACTTACAGCTAGCTGAACAGTTAATCCATGACATGAAACAATTAGGCCTTGGGGGTTTCAAGCATTAGAGAAAAAAGAAAAAGTGAAATCTAAACAAAAGTTCATCTATATATAAATTTGGCTTGTCTGTCTGTTTTTTTGTTTGTATCCAATAAACGTCAAAACGGCTGAACCGACCGGGCCCAAATTTGTTGTGGGACATCACGTGACCGCAGGGAAGGTTTATTAATGTTAAAAAAAAAATGTGGTTTAAAGGATTTTAATTTTGTAAAAAAATTCAAATTCTTGAAAATCCGCGATTTACATAAAATACATCTACCCCAACTGTACTATTTACATAAAATGCATCTACCCCAACTGTACTATTTACATAAAATACATCTAACCCAACTGTACTATTTACATAAAATATATCTACCCAACTGTACTATTTACATAAAATATATCTACCCAACTGTACTATTTACATAAAATACATCTACCCCAACTGTAATATTTACATAAAATTTATTTACCCCAACTGTTATATTTATATAAAAAATATCTACCCCAACTGTAATATTTACATAAAATACATCTACCCCAACTGTAATATTTACATAAAATATATTTACCCCAACTGTAATATTTATATAAAAAATATCTACCCCAACTGTACTATTTACATAAAATACATCTACCCCAACTGTACTATTTACATAAAATACATATACCCCAACTGTAATATTTACATAAAAACATCTACCCCTACTGTAAAAGTTGCATAAAAAACATTGTAATGTTTACATATAATTTATCTACCCCAACTGTATATACTATTTACATAAAAATATCTACCCCAACTGTAATATTTACATAAACATCTACCTCAACTGTAATATTTACATAAAATACATCTACCTCAACTGTACTATTTACATAAATATATCTACCTCAACTGTACTATTTACATAAAATATATCTACCCAACTGTATCTATATATAAATTTGGCTTGTCTGTTTGTCTGTTTGTTTGTATCCAATAAACGTCAAAACGGCTGAACCGATCGGGCCCAAATTTTTTGTGGGACATCTAGGGACCCCAGGGAAGGTTTATGAATGATCAAAATTTCAAATATTTGTCTCCATCAAAATTCGATCGTCATTAGATTTTTTAAAATTTTGAAAATCCACGAAATTTTTTGTGAAAATCCGCGAATTATTGTTGTTTTGTTTTGTTTTACGATGTACACAAAGAGAACATGTTCACAATTAATTTAGAAGATGGGCGCGAAGCGCCCTCTAAGGCTAATTATTTACATAAAATACATCTACCCAACTGTACTATTTACATAAAATATATCTACCCCAACTGTAATATTTACATAAAATATATCTACCTCAACTGTACTATTTACATAAAATATATCTACCCAATTGTATTATTTACATGAAATACATCTACCCAACTGCACTATTTACATAAAATATATCTACCCCAACAGACTACTCGACTGTACTCTTTAAGAAAGTTTGAATTTAGTTAAGGATAGAAAACTGTTGATATTTGTTGTAAAATATGCACAATTTAAAGTTTATAATAAATAATTTATGCTAAAAGTATTATCACTTGCAACAAATTCTTATTTTGAAATCCGAATATCTTTGTAACTTGATGTCGTAGGCCTTTGATATTTCAAAATCGGAATTCTGTTAATACAAATAGTCTAAATTTGAAATATCAAAGGTTTACACCCTTAAGTTATAAAAAGATAGAGATTAGAAAATTAGAGTTTGTTCCAAGTGTTCAGTTTCTTTAGAGCAAGATATGTGCATTTCCTCAAATAGTCCTTCATAAACAAAGTTTATTTAAAAAATAATTAGGGTTCGTGCCATTTAATTTCTTATTTAAACAGACTAGGAGTGCAGTGTGCGAAGTCAACGCGTTTTCTGTCAAATTAAGATACGCCAAACCCCTCATCAGGGTTGTGTGAGGTCACACAAACTTTTCTTTGCCCAAAACGGG